TGCTCTCCAAAGAGGAACGACATCAAAAAGCTGCCCAGATACGTGCTAATAAAAGAAAAGCTGTAATTGAGCGACGGCGAGGGTTAGACGGTGGGGTGGCCGCACCGGTTTTAGTTGTGAGTGTTTCTTCTGAGCAAATTCGTTTCATTCTTCTTTTTAGCCTTTTTCTTTAGACGGTTATCTCATTTGGAAGCAGCGCCACCGACTTTGTCGAAGGTATTGCCAAGTGCGATGAGACTATCGTTCACACGCAAGGACACAATGTGGCTTACTTTGCGTAAGTTCCTGAGTTTAACTCATTTCATAGACATAAATTTTGCTTCAGTATTCCTCGATTCAAGTCTCGACTAGGTTTTCTGACTCCGGATCTTTCCAAATACGACAATGTGCTTGACTCGATCAAGGTATTCGGTTTATGTTACTGGCCTTTGTCATATTGTTAGTTAAAATTTTTGGAAGCATAACCACCTCTTTTCATATTTTTCTTATCACTCGAATTTCATCTTATCAAGCTCACAACTTCCGTTTATAATCAGTCCATCCAATGCAACAGCGCAATTGTATTCCTCCTTTTCAAGATTTAGTCTGATCCTTTAGTCACCTCATTATAAGAGTGGAGCCATTCGTTATGAGCTGAGGTTAGAAGTTGAAAATCGCACATTTTGAGTTGCAAATTAAACTACGATGTCATGGTGTATATTTCAAAAGAATAGTTTCATCTTGTAAACAGTGCTAAAATTTCTTGGCTTCTTAAGGGAGTACCATAATTTGCTTACTTTTTGATTTCTTGGACGCAAATCAATGCTTAATTTCAGGTTTCCGATGTGGTCTGTTTCCTGTGGCCTACCGAAGCCGAGCTTAGCGAAGAACATCATCTGCTTCTCACCATCGTCAAGGCACATGGTATTTGTTATTTATCAGATTGAAGCTTCTTCTCAATCGCTTTTCGGTATAGGTTTGCCCTCTTATGTGAATGTCGCGCCACACCTGAACGACATTCCGATAGGGAAGAAGCGTGAAGACGCAAGGAAGCATGTACAGGCGCTTATAAGCGAAACGTAGGCATACAGCATCTAATGTTTCAATGAACTACTCAATTTATCCATTTTCAGCAACCTTACTTCAAACAAGCTGTTTTGTTCCGACTCGACAGCGGACTTTATCTTACTTGTCCGTCATTTTATTGATATGAAAAAGAATAAAATGCTATTGCAAAAACGCCGTCCGCATATATTGGTGGAGAAATTGGATGTCGTTGACGATAAGGTTCGCGGAACGTGTCAAAAAAGACTTTTCAATGGTAATAATTTAGGCTGGGATCTGTTCAGTCCTTGCGACGGGATATCTGCGTGGACCCACATGGAATGTCAATCACCTAGTGCATATTCAAGGATGGGGTGACTTTCAGTTGAGCCGGATCATTGCTTGTGATGACCCGAATCCACTCAAGCCGGTGTGTTTGGATAGCTTCCGTTAAAAAATCGTTTGAATTGCTTCTTGCGCATGACGGACCTGCTATTCTTGCTGTAATGTCCACCCTCCTCTTTCTAACCTATTTTGACCCTTTATTTCAATTTTTTCTAATTTTTTTCCCTTAGCAGTGCTTCTAGTCATTTATAGGGGAACCCAAGAATGGTCCAGTCTATCCCCGCAGAGCCAAATGTTTTGGCAACCGCAGATGAAGCTGTTAGGGAATCACTGCAGTCAGAAATTGTGCCCGATCCAATGGATGCTGAGCAGACTTGGCCAGATGAGTACGACGCTAAAGATGATGGCAAACGTAAGGGTTCCTATCTTTCCATTGAATCATAAACACTCTAAATCTAGTGAAGAATGTTCCCGGAACTCGAAATGTTCCCAAAGGAACCTCATCTTATCAAGCTGCATGGATTCTCGATGATGACAATGAAGAATCTGCGGGTGAAAGTGACGAGGTGAGATGACATTTCAGAAAGGAGCACCTATTTGTAATTCTATAATAAAGGACGAAGATGAAGAGGAAACTGGTGTGGAAGGGTTGATGGAAGTGGAAGCAGATGATGATAGTGAAAATGACGAGCCGGAGGCCAACGGTGCGTTTGATGATATGGCTTCAGAAACAGCCGATGACGGGGAAGATGAGGCCGATGATCTCGATGAGGTTTGTGCTTAGTTATCTTCCTAGTGGGGCGAATTTAACCTAATTTCTAAGCCTATGAAAGTCATTTCCGTTATAACTTTTCTTGAGTTTTCTACGGTATATTCTTGATGAAAAATTTTTTGCTTTGAACGGCTCAAACTCACATCTGACAATGAAGCTATCGTTATCTCTGCTTTCTGTTTTGTTCAAAAGTACTGAGTGACTAACTTTCAATCTCATAGGTCGAAAAATATCGTCGGGAAAGAGAAGATGCACAGTTCCCCGATGAAATCGATACGCCTATCGGTGATCTTGCTAGAATCAGATTCCAAAAGTACCGTGGTCTGAAAAGCTTCAGGTAAATTCCTTGCGTCGTTAGGATCAGACTGACTTAACTTCATTTATGTAGGACTTCGCCATGGGATCCCAAAGAAAATCTACCATCCGACTATGCTCGCATATTCCAGTTTCAAAATTATAAGAAAACCAGGAAAAACGTGTTGAGCCAAATTGACGATTACGATCCAGCATCGTGCGTTTCTTCGGGGCAATACGTAACATTACAGATTGATCGCGTCCCGGTCACCTTTGCGCGTTAGTTCATTTCTGTTCAATTTTTCTCAAATTGAAACCCATCTTCGAGTGTGTTGTTATTATTTATTGCAGAGCAATGGAACAAAGATGATCCATTAGTGCTTTATCAGTTGCTGCCGCACGAACAGCGCATGTCCGTACTCAATTTTGTGATACGTAAGCACCCGTCATGTCGCGTTCCAATAACGAACAAGCAGGTGAGCTGCTACTTCATGCCTTCCTAGTTTGTTCTGTTATCGGTTGTACCACTTTCATGCCTTTGCCCACACTAATCTTCCAGAAACTGATTTTCAATGTTGGATTTCGGAAGTTTGAAGCATGTCCAGTGTTTAGTCAGCACTCAAATGGAAATAAATTCAAAGTATGTTTGAGCTTGGTAGTTATGTGATGTATTGTTTTGAATGAGTTGACCATTGTGAGTAGTCGTATTACAGATGGAGCGATTCCTGCCAGCGAATACAGCATGTGTGGCTACTGTCTTTGCACCTATAACTTTTCCTCCTGCTTCTGTGTTGGTGTTCCGAGAAGGAAAAGGTGGAAAGGAGGTGCGCTCAGTAATTTTCTCCTCTAATTCTCTGTTCTATAGCATTCGCGTGTTTCAATTTTTGATCCTTTATCATGCTAAAATTTTCGAAAAGGGTATCCCATTTTCTTTAACACGAATAATTTATTCTGTTCGATGTAGAATTCATTACATTTCTCACTCGCTGTGCGACAATAGCGAAACGGACCTAAATTACTGATTGTATTGGAATTTGTTCATGTCGCGGCTTTTGCTTGCAACTGCTGTAGTCTATTTTGGCTGTAAAGACTCTCCCTGAGAGTCGTTGTTTTACCGCGAATGTGCGTGATCGTATACTGCAAATGTCTACAGTTTTAAACTGAGGTGTAGTCGCTTGAGTCATATTCTAATATCGTCTTTCACAATTCTTACTCATCACACGAAGCGTTTTTAGCTCCAATCTTATGCTCGTCTTTTGTTCATTTTTTCTGCTAGGAAAACGTCCACACTTTATCAAAAAGACACAGCAAGTGAAAATACTTCGCGGATTTGCGCCAGAAGCTGCATTCAAATCAATCAACTGTAGGAGCTGATCGAATCTTTTCTGTTTTTTGCTCACATACCTTTAATATGAAAACAATCACTGCAACATAAATCAGGTTGATCACATCACTCAAATCAATTTCATTGAAGGGCTTGGGCATCGATAATATATAGTTGAAGGCAATGTCCGGGCAAGAAGTCGATTTTGAGATTTTGTGCTTACC